TGCTGACCGGAAGGTTGGTGGTTCAAGTCTGTGGGATGGGGTGAGCTCCTGCTGCCAGCTCCAGCTTCTGCTAACCTAGCAGTTTGAAAACATGCAATTCTGAGTAGATCAATAGGTACCGCCTCAGTGGAAAGGTAATGGCGCTCCGCACAGTAATGCTGGCCACATGACCTAGGAGGTGACTACGGACAACACAGGCTCTTTGGCTTAGAAATGGAGATGAGCACCACCCCTTAGAGCTGGAAGGGAAAGCCTTTACCTTTATCTGTGTTAGGTTTTTCTAGGCATTGAATGTTTGCCTTTGTGTTTGTGTATGCTGGAATCTGCCGAGTCCCCTCCGGGAGATAGGGAAGAAATACAAATAAATTATTATTATTATTATTATTATTATTATTATTATTATTATTTCAAACAATAAATTGTCTGAATCAGATCTTGTCAACTGACAAATCCAGTTCATCAAAGCATAGCTTTGTCCCTATTACAGTAATTCAATCAATCATAAATCAGGGACAATCACCCTGGTCTCTTTTTACATTGCTGAAAATGGAATTCAGTATCAATTGTAGTTTCTGTGCCCTTGACTTTGCTAATGAGATTAGTAGCCATCTTATCCAGGCATCAGTTGTAAGCACTGTTAGGTGTTGAGTCATTTTTAAGCTGTTACATTTCTATTCTTTATCTTCTCTTTCACCTGCTGGGACTATTCTTTCCTTTCAACGTCTGTTTGCACTGCCATAATGCTTGAATTGAAAATATAAAACAGAAATAGCATTGATAAGCATTGTGAGAAATGGACACACCCTTTTGCAAACATGAAACTGAATGACATACAGGATGTTTTTTTGAAGCAAGGTAGAGTGCTTACCAATGAAAGTAGTGAATTCACTTTTTAGAGTAGCTAGCTAGGATAGGATCCATTTGCTGATGTGACCAGTGATTCCAGGAGGGGAGATCCCCATCTTCCTCCAATAGCTACTGGCCAACTCTTTAGATCAGAGTTTCTTATTGCATGGGTGGCTCATCAAAGGAAAGGAGGAGAGAACATTTTGTGAGACTTGTAAGTGCCATGTAATGAATGACATCTTCAGAATATGCTGATGGAATGCTTTTCATCAGCAAATATACCCAATAGATTCTAAGTTCTTATATGTTTTGTCTTACCAAGGTGGTATAATACTTGAGTTTCTGATGAAAGGCTCCAATCTATGAAACCATATTTGTTCTAAATCTTATTTAAATCATTGAATTAGTGGGAAATACATAATGGTTAACTCAGTATTCAGCAATTGATTGAATGAATGTATGTTAGTTGGGACCTGCAATCAAGTTAGGCCATCACAAAGAAAAGTATTTGCTCCTGACAGTTGTTATTGTGCTACAAATCTTTGTCTGAGGGATTCTTGTAAGTTTGACAGGCATTCATCATGACTTTTGTTGTGCTAATTCAAGTTAGGCTACAATGCTCTACTCTAAATTAAAAAGGCTGTTTGTAAGTTCACTGTAGAGAACTGTTATAGAAGGCATTTACACCTTCCTCCTATAATAAGGAAATAATATCAGGCAAATTATGTGTGGGCAGAAACGTAAGCAAGTGTAATAAAAAGACATCTAAAGACTGCAAACAACCAAATGATTTTCCATTTTATGTTCCCTTTATGGCATTTCCTGTCACTCATTGGATTACATAATGTAAATGAACTCTATGACAAATGTTGTCACCCCATGGGTACGTACTCACCTATGCAAGGAAACATTCATTCTACTCAAACTGTTCCAATCTTATCTAGCTCAAATAAAATAAGGACATTATGCATGCTCAAGAAAGCAGTTAAGTGCACATAAATTTCTTTGCTCAAAATCAGTAAAAACACAGCTACACTAGTGGTGGTTACATTATTCGTTAGTAGCAAAGCAGAAAGCAGTCTGGATGCCAGCCACAGATGCAAATGAAACATCAGGAGAAAGTGCTGCTAGCGTTCAGCCAAACATCCCAGAAATCACACATCACCCTAGTGATTCCAGCTGTGTCTTCTAATAATACTTGCGTGTGTGCCTTCTTGTACAATGACAAGGAACTTAGGCTAACTTAGGCTAAATGCTCTGAAGGTAGGTAAAGGTTTTCCCCTGACATTAAGTCCAGTCATGTCTGACTCTGGGGGTTGTTGCTCATCTCCATTTCTAAGCCGAAGAGCCGGCGTTGTCCATAGACACCTCCAAGGTCATGTGGCTGGCATGACTGCATGGAGCACTGGTACCAAAGTGTCAAGGTCAACACCCTTATCTCTAAGTATCTCCCGGATTCTTTTCCTCTGTTGCGCTTCCTCATAGTCTTGCTCGCGAGTAGTTTTCCTGCCTCTCCTAACACAACTAGTGTTACTATCACTGCCAGCAGACTCTATCACAACACTAAGTCCTTTTCATATTGAAAGCTAAGCAGAATCAAGCCCTGGTTAATATTTGGATGCGGAAACCACCAAAGAATATCAGGTGCTGGAGGAATGACAAAACTTTTCCTCCCTTGCCTAAGAAAACCTTGTGGAATTCATGGGGTTGTCATAAGTCAGCAGGTGACATGAAGGCATACACACACACATTTTGTTCCTTTGTAATGTCTGGTTCCACTTATCATTTAATGCCACGTCACTACAAATGAAAAAGCTAACAGGAAAAGGTTGCTGGTAACTGGCAGGGAACAGGATTACAGCCTGTGCTACCACAAAATCAAATACTATATAGGATGAAACATCTGGACCAACTACCCAATTAAAACAAGGATGGGATATTTTAAGTTGTGATTCTATTCATCCCAATTCACCCAACTCAACTTTGTTTATATATACTGACACATATTTGCATCACTGTATTGTTCAGAGTGTATGTTTAGATAAAAATTCACATACCAAAAAACACTCTTTTGCCTCTATGATGCTGTAGAGGTCTAAAATAGCTCTACAATATCATCTTTTGTTTCTTTAAGAAAAAAATCTGATTTTTTAATTACTAGTTTTATACTTTCGTTTTTAGCAATTGAAGATGTGTGGAACTGCAAACTAAATTGCACAGTGAGACACGCTCAGAAGGAATTTGTAATTCTTCAAAGTATCCGATTTTAATGTGACATTTCAAATCAAAAGATACTCTAAAACAGGGCTTTCCAAACTATATATTGCAATACATCCGTGTGTCAGCTGCAGTGTGTAGGTGTGTCATTCATATGTAATGAGAAACCTGAGTCTGTGTGACATAAGAAATAAATCAGATTTTAAAAAAATATATTATTGGAAGGCTCTCATGAGATATATTGTGCCCCCATATATTCCATTATTACAATGTATGTATATGCCTGCATCTTTTAAAGGGGTTGGCTTAACCTCTGGCTTGCTAGTAAAACTGAATAACTGGGCCACGAAATGATGCACATCTAAAAGTATGTCACCAACAAGTTTGGAAAGCTCTGGTTTAACCTCTGGTTTGCTAGTAAAACTGATTTACTCTCACAAAATGATGCATGTCTAAAAAGTGTGTCACCAACATGAAATGTTTGGAAAGCTCTGCTCCAATGGATACCAAACAAGGTGCTTTGGGGAGAAGGGAAGGATGATGGAGCGATGTGTCAGGAATGTAGCACTGGAATGTATGGATTGTTGCATAAAATATGTTGGCCAACATGACATAGTTATAACAGTTTGACACCACTTTAACTCTTGCTGCTGCATCCAACATAATTCTGGGAGTTATAGTGTGTCAAAATACTTAGAATTCATGGCTATAAGATTGCCACACACTGCTCCAAACTACAGCACTGGAGGCTTCTGGCAGACAATAGTAATGTTGTTTAAGGAGCCTAAACAGCAACTCCAGGGATTTTGTAGCACAAATTGAAAAAATGGTATTAGATTGCTAGGTGACACAGTTAAGTAAAGGTTTCCCCTTGCCATTAAGTCTAGTTGTGTCCAACTCTGGGGGGGGGGGGGGGGGGGGGGGGGGGTGCTCATCTCCATTTCTAAGGCGAAGAGCCGGTGTTGTCCATAGATGCTCCAAGGCCATGTGGCTGGCATGACTGCATGGAACACTGTTACTTTCCTGTAAAGGCGGTACCTATTGATCTACTCACATTTGCATGTTTTAGAACTGATAGGTAGGCAGAAGCTGGGCCTAAGAGTGGGAGCTCACCCTGCTCCCTGGATTCGAACCGTCAACTTTTCGGTCAGCAAATTCGGCAGCTCAGCAGTTTAACTACTGGGGGGGGGGGGGCTGTGTGACACAGGTACATTCTTAAAAGTATATGTGCTGCCACTGCAGCATTTAGATGGAGGAAAGAATATAACTTTTCCAATGGTTTGTGTCCCAAATACATAGTTATATGGCAGCTTCCTCTGCAAGGAAGCAATCTAACCAAGAAGTATGTTGTACTGCAACATTTTAAACCACCACCAGCTAAACAAGCACTTGGATATTAAGCAGGAATAAATATCTTTTAGTAATTTTCCTATATTTATTGTACTGCTTGCAGAAGCAGCATTTCAAGTTTGATGTCATTTTATCCCATAGTCAGGGTTCACAGGATTACGTGGCTCTAAATCACTTACTTGAAATGAGGTTGTAAGGAGGAAGAGACCAAGAGAGCAAAATGACTTCATGGCTACACCCACGGATGAACCAAATCATGGTGAAATGCTTAACACAGTTAGGTAACAAAAATAATCCACCACTGAATACATAGACCTTTTCTTCTTTTGCTTGCACAATAGAATTCTGATTGAGTTCTCTTTGGAATCACATGAAGGACTGAGGACCTCTAGTGGAGCCAAGTAACTGGCCTCTGATTTTTCTTGTCCACAGATGTTGCTTTCAAAGAATAGCTAAATATATGACGATAGGGGGAGAAATCACACTTTTACCTAATTTTCTTTGTGGCATTCTGCTGTATAGTAATGAAAAATGTATTTTCTGTTTTAAATGCCATAAGAAAAAAGATTTGCATAGGAAAAAAAAGATTTGCAAGAAATTCCACCACCTTTATTTGTGGCAAATACACATACACACAAAGGGATTAAAAAACAAACAAACAAAAAAACAGTCATCCCTACTCTCTTCCTAGCTACATGCAAAATGACCCCTCAGCCCAGGAAACTATGCTCTTCTTTCCTGATGTTTATAAAAAAATAAACCTACAGGAAGATGTTTTTTAAAAAGATAGGAACAGGCAGGGACCATGAATTTTAGAAGTCAGCTCCTAATTATGTCTTTTGAAAAGATGGCAGGGTTGGAAGAAGTCCGTGTTTTGGACATGCAGCCATGTTGGTTGGGGATTTTGGGTATCATAGTCCAAAATAACTCTGAATCTCTCGAGAACCCACAACACTAGAGAGCTAATATGGGATCATGTTCATCCTAATGAACTCTATAATACACATTTGGATAAAAGAAATGACAAGCAATTGAGTAATATTATAAGTTTCCCTCAAATGCAGGGCCTCTGTATGTCTGGAAAATGCGACCTGCTCTGAGGCAGAACTTCTCAGAAACCATTACTCTTTTTAAAAAAATGTAAAGCCAAATCCTATCAAGAACTGAATTGTTTTTGGATTAACCTTGTCCTTCTCAGAACCTACTTCAGCATAATTGCATTGATGGAACAGACAAAAGCAGAGCACCCAACATTTTGCTTCCAAGTGTAAGGAACCACAAAGTGTTTTTCTGAAACAAATTGCAAGGAAAAAGTGACAGCTGTACTTCTATCACACATTATGGAGAAGAAATGACATCTTCTCCACAATGTGTAATAAAGTCAGTGGTGTGTGGCCTCTGGATTTATGTGTGAAGGATGAGAAACCATCTCAAGTAAAGGGGACGACATTGTCTTTTGAGTTACAGTTGCAATGGAAACACTTATTTTATTTTCATTTGGTAGTACCTAATCCATTCTTCAGCACAATTTCTTCATACGTAAAACATCTCTAAGATCCATAGCCTTGTTGCAACAACCTGGATTAAAATCATTTCCTTATGACATCCAACACAAAGTCCTGGGACTGAAGCATGGAGAAAAGCCTGATCAACAAGAAGTAAGACAATTTGAAAGGGATCTTTGTTTTGGAAGAGAGTTGGCTGACCTTGGTACCTTTTGTATCAATCAAGAATCTTACTGTCCCTTAGTGGGCAGTGTCCCCTTCCTTCATTGCTCACCAAATCACTCTATGGAAATATACATTCCAGATCCAAGGACATCTCTCATCTCATAAGGCACAGGAAGAGGAAACTACAATTCCCCCTTTTATACCTGGATTGCCACACTTCCATCCCTCTCCATTTTATCATTCTGGAATCCAGAAGAACCTTTTTCTTATGAAGCCACCTGCTCCAATGTCCCCAAGGATACATTTGCACCTCCAGACCTTCCTTCTGACCAACAGGATTCAGTAATCTGACCCTTGAAAGAAGAGATCTGGCTTCAATTCAATTCAGAATAGGATCTGAATTGTGTCAAGCTCCACAGGGGAGGGCAGGAGGGAGCTCCCTTGCTAGCATGACCTGATTAGCAGTACGAACAATCAGTTGTGGGTGGCCACATGTAGAACAATTGTTTTCCCTGGTCTGGGTTTTCAAGCCTTGAGAAGCCAGGTCCTAAAGTACCAAATGGGAATAAGGCTTGGTCAGATTAGTTCATTTGAGCCTTAATGGAGCTGGCAAAGCTTCCTAGGCTAAAACTTGCTTGCTCAAGGCACTTTTTGTACTTCTGCCTAAACCCCTCCTGGCTCTTCTTATGACAAGCCACACTGCAGTTGCAGCAAAGCAGCACCACTAAGCCTCACACCCAAGCCTCTACATGTGTTGCTGCCAGCCTGGAGTGTTCCAAGAGTTTCAGTAAGGAAAGATGCCTTGGTTGGAAGTCAGAGAACCAAAAGAGAAACACAAAGGCTAGAAGTTTACTTTCTTGTATGACAATCCCTACCAACTGATGGATAATCCATAGTACTAATACAGGACTCCTCTTCCCGATTACACATATCAGGGCCAAGCCTCCACCTCTGGATCAAAAGGATTTTCCAAGTTCAGGTGATGTGTCCCAGGGTCACAATTTTCTTAGTTTGAATGCTGTCTCCACAGGAGTTCAAGGGCCTCAATTCCCATCATAACGCCACCTTGAAAACCACCAGAAATATGATGCTGGGCAGCATCCTTTAGGAGGATACTGGCCAACACAGAGTTAATAAATAATAATAAAAATATCCTGAAATAGTAACGTGGGAAGAGCTCCTAAAAGGAACCAATCCCTTGTAAATAGCTCCTCCTCTGGCCTAACCCCCAATTTGGGGAAAGGGTGGCCAAAATTAGTAAAGCATCAGTGTTAAAAATGAGACAATCAAGTTGGTGCGGTGGCATAGAAAAATACTGAAGGAGCCTGGGATGGTCTTCCCAGGGCAGCTTATCAGCACCCAGCAGGGAGAGAGGCCATGTTTATCTTGACCTTGGTTCTCAAGTCCATTTGTGAAAACAGCACACAGATCCCACAGAACGCCGTGGCTTCCAGTGCCTCTTTTCCCAGCAGGCGGCGAAGGCATAATGGACAATGCTCTAGGCTTGGCTTCACGTTTGCTCTGCTCCTGCTGCTATGGCTCCCACTGCTTCATCCTTAGCTTGAGGCTCCAAGTAAATTGGAATCACTGTAGAAGGTTTCTTAAATCTATGAGAAAAGAGGTAAGCAACAAGTCAGAGGTCTGGGATAACTGCCAGGATGCAGTTCACTAAAGATCCAGCCCAGTGGCGGCTGGAACAAAACATAGGAAGTTACAAAACATAGAATCATAGAGTTGGAAGAGACCTCATGGGCCATTCAGTCTAACCACCTGCCAAGAAGCAGGAAAATCCCAATTAAAACACCCCCGACAGATTGCCATCCAGCCTCTGCTTTATTTATTTGTCGTGTCGGAACAACCAGTCTAACAGAACAAAGCAAACAAACGGAAAAATACACAACTTGTGAGTTTGGTAGCTGGTTAAATGTCCTTTGACCAGTATCTGGCCACTTGGAGTGCTTCCAGTGTTGCTGAAAGAAGGTCCTCCATTGTGCATGTGGCAGGGCTCAGGTTGCATTGCAGCAGGTGGTCAGTGGTTTGTTCTTCTCCACACTCGCATGTCGAGGATTCTACTTTGTAGCCCCATTTCTGAAGGTTGGCTCTGCATCTCGTGATGCCAGAGCGCAGTTTGTTCAATGCCTTCCAAGTCGCCCATCTTCTGTGTGCCCAGGAGGGAGTCTCTCATTTGGTATCAGCCATTGGTTGAGGTGCTGGGTTTGAGCCTGCCACTTTTGGACTCTCGCTTGCTGAGGTGTTCCAGCGAGTGTCTCTGTAGATCTTAGAAAACTATGTCTAGATTTAAGTCATTGGTGTGCTGGCTGATACCCAAACAGGGGATGAGCTGGAGATGTCTCTGCCTTGGCCCTTTCACTATTGGCTGCTACTTCCCGGCGGATGCCAGGTGGTGCAATACCAGCTAATACTGGGGGACATGAGAGAAGCCTCCTCGCAGGATTGCAAGACATCCGGGCGTCCCCTGGGCAACGTCTTCGTAGACGGTAGATTCTCTCGCCACAGAAGCGACCAGCATGCAAGCCTCTGCTTAAAAGCCTCCAAAGAAGGAGCCTCCACCACACTCCAGGGCAGAGAGTTCCACTGCTGAACTGCTCTCACAGTTAGGAAGTTCTTCCTAATGTTCAGGTGGAATCTTTTTACCTGTAGTTTGAAGCCATTGTTCTGCGTCCTAGTCTCAAGGGCAGCAGAAAACAAGCTTGCTCCCTCCTCCCTATGACTTCCCCTCACATATTTATACATGTCTCCTCTCAGCCTTCACTTCTGCAGGCTAAACATGTCCAGCTCTTTAAGTCCCTCCCCACTGGACTTGTTCTCCAGACCCATGATCATTGTGGTCACTCTTCTCTGGACACATTCCAGCTTTTATTTATTTATTTCCAACATTTGTACCCTGTCCTTCTCAACCCTCAAAGGGGGACACAGGGCGGCTTATAATATGTCACAACATTACAAATTAAATAAACCATTCGGTTAAAATTGATTTTAAAAACAGCTTGTCAACATCTCCCTTCAACTGCGGTGCCCAGAACTGGATACAGTATTCCTGGAGTGGTCTGACCAAGACAGAATAGAGGGGTAGCATGACTTCCCTGGATCTAGACACTATACTCTTATTTATGCAGGCCAAAGTCCCATTGGCTTTTTAAGCTGCCGCATGACATTGTTGGCCCATGTTTTACTTGCTGTCCATGAGGACTCCAAGATCTTTTTCACGCATACTGTTGTTGAGCCAGGTGTCCCCCATTCTGCAAGGGCATTTCATTTTTTCTGCAGAAGTGAAGTATCTTGCATTTGTCACTGTTGAACTTCATTTTGTTAGTTTTGGCCATCTCTCTAATCTGTTAAAATACAATCCTTGTACCCATGGGGAAAATAATCCCATACCCCCTCATGGGTAACCAAAACTATGGATAAAACCAAATCCATATTGCTGGTGATGAAAAATGGCCCCATCACAAGAGGCTACTGGCTCATACCAGAATAACTGTGTTGGTGTATAGCTTCTGATATTACATGCTCTGGTGTACAGCAATATCCTATAAATGCATTTTTGTCAGATCCTCCACAACATTTGATTTGTTTAAAAATATATTAACTGGCACTAGAAAGCAACAGAGAACAGAAATAGTAGATGAATGTAAAGCCTGAACTATCTTGGTTTGTGGGCAGTAAGCCATGCTCCTTCTAGACCAGTGGTTCTCAACCTGTGGGTCCCCAGATGTTTTGGCCTTCAACTCCCAGAAATCCTAACAGCTAGTAAACTAGCTGTGATTTCTGGGAGTTGTAGGCCAAAACACCTGGGGACCCACAGGTTGAGAACCACTGTTCTAAACTAACCACATTGATCCTACTGTACAGCCAACTGATGAACAAACTGAAGTAATATCTGGAAAGAAGGTACTCCTAAGCTAGCTAGTACCACAATTTGATTTTTTTTTTTTTGTATCAGGAGTGACTTGAGAAACTGCAGATCGCTTCTGGTGTGAGAGAACTGGCAGTCTGCAAGAACGTTGCCCAGAGAACGCCCAAATGTTTTACTATCCTTGCAGGAAGCTTCTCTCATGTCCCCACATGAGAAGCTGGACTGGACAGATGGGAGCTCACCCCACTCCCTGGATGTGAACCACTGACCTTTCTGTCTGGAGTTCTGTCGGTACAAAGGGGTAACATATTGTGCCACCACAATTATTTGATGGACATAAGAAAATTATATACACGGTGGATTTCCCCCTAAAGGGCACTTACGAATATGGAGAGGCAGGAACTCCTACCACCAGGAAATGGTTCTTCTTTCGAAAGAGCCGCCACAGGCCTTTGTGGTTCCCACGGACATCTAGATCCCAGATGTGGAGGCACTAGAACAAAGTGGAGAAACATGGCAGCAAGGAAGAATCAACCATGTGACTGAGTGCCAAAACCTTGGCAGACTACATGTTTATACATACTGCACAACTGTAACATTTGGATACCACTTTGGTTTCCTTGGCATCAGTGCATGGCTTCTGGGATTTCTAGCTTGAAGAGGTATTTAGAGTCGTCTCCTAGGGTGTACTAGGCACAGAATGTGAGCAGAAAATTTAAAGTATCGCATCAAATGATAAAACCCCAGGCCCCCGATAGGACAGACGCATGGCATCGAAGTGCTAAATTGGTATTGTGTGGATATGTCATAGGTTACATCTAAATATTTTTCCACATTAGCATTATTGCACTCTCTTTCCAGCCTATGTTAGAAGCGGGAAGCCTCTTTGGAAGTTACCTTGGCAAGCTGAGTCCAGGTAGTGAAGTCTGCCTCCTGCTCCATTTTGATGTACATCACATAGATCTTTCCTTCAGTATCAGGTACAAAAGAATCTTCACAGGGGTTCTTGCTGTGATCCAAAACCTCTGCCTCACTGTTAGTGGTAGATGATAAAAATATATAATGGACAGAGAAAGTAAATGAAGGTATATATTTGGGCTTGCTATGTAGGAGCACAGCCTTGAAAATAATTCCTTCTACCCTACTCTCCCCGTCTCCTTTTCCAAAACTTAATTACCATTAATTACCAGGAGACTTTGATTTTGTTTGTGGGAGTTACCTGAGGAGCCGATGGATTTCAATTTCATAGGCATCTTTCTTTAAGCTGTATGGAAGAGACAGTAAGACAGAGATAGGAGATACATTAAGGACAGGCAATATATGGCTTTCCAGATAATGACGGGTTGCAAATCTTATAATCCTTCATTTAATGGAAGGGAGATGCAAGAGGGAAAATGTGGAAGTCTATAGATAGAAAAATTCTGCATTTTGCCTTCCTGGTAGTAGTTTAGTGTATTAACATTCATGCCCTTATTCATTTGCCACTGCCTTTATATTATAACCACACAATGAAGTCATCAGGATGTTTTTCTTTCTTTCAACCTTTCTGAAATACTGGAACTTAGGGTAAAAATATCTAAGCAAACTATTGAGTTATTCTTATTGTTTTTTCCCCCTATCATTCTGGAGTTACAGAGAGCGGAACAAGCAGAGGGGATGAATGCTAGTTTTTCACCTACCATGGCAGGAGCCCTCAGTGGCGCAATGGGTTAAGCCCTGCTGACCAAAACACTGACGGTTCGAATCCAGGGAGCAAGGTAAGTTCTCATCTGTCAGCTTCGGCTTCTCATGCAGGGACATGAGATAAGCCTCCCACAGGATGGTAAAACATCAAACATCTGGGTGTCCCCTGGGTATCGTCCTTGCAGACGGCCAATTCTCTCACACCAGAAGTGACTTGCAGTTTCTCAAGTCACTGTTCACACACACACACACACACACACACACACACAAAGCCTACCATGGCAGAATGGAAATCAAGTGCCTAGATATAGATCAATGGTTGTTGAGTTGCAGAAAGTACTATTATCTAGTTCTGTCCAGCATGTATACCAGCTAGGCTTGTGCATTTTGAATGAATCTCAAGCCGTTTCTGCTATCTGGGGGTGGGGTGGTTTTGTTTTCACACACTTCTCAAAAATGGGCAGGTGCCCAAATAGGCATTTTTGGCCCACAGCTGGAAAATGTGGCTAGATCCGGCCCATTGGTGACAATGGAGGGGTTCCATGAGCTTCCCTTTCTGTCATTTTCAGGGCTATCAGGATGACAATGGCCACACATGGAGGACACAGTTACCACTGCTGGCCCACCAAGTTTCATAATGTTTGGGTCATCCCCTGATTTTTAGGAATTTTCTAAATTTCTAGAAATACTCCGTTAAAAAAATCCCACTGGTCTTGCCCTGTAACTTCTCCAGGAGCAGCAGTAGGGCACCATTCCAACTCCCAGTCCCACTAAATAAAGAATCAAGAAGATAAAGGAAAATCAAAAAGATTCAATGCTAGAAGCCAAGCTGAAAGCTAAAGCTGTGAGTGAGCGGCAAGCCAATCGGACTAAAGCACTTATCTCTAGAGCCAGGATGCAACTGAGCAATGGAGGAGGCGCTCACCCCATTAAATAGACTCAGCTTGAATAAGACACATCACAGCTTTCTTCTATTCTGATTGGCCCAGCAGGCAGGGCTCAAAGGGAAACCCTGTGCGAGCATGCAGCAGCCTTTCCACATGTCACGAGCTCTGTCAAAAAAACCATGGCAGCAGAGCCCTTGCAGAGCCCTGAAGAAGCTGAAGAAAAATGGCCAAAACAAATCTTTGCACAAGTCTAATACCAGCACAACTATTTATACAAAAGAATTCAGCCCCAAGAGGAGGATGAACACAAAGAAACGGAGATGAAAATCAAAAGTACGGTATCAGCTGAAGTGAAATACTCTATATTCACACAAATGAGAAGTTAGTGATCAAGATCAAGAGTCTGAACCAATAAATTAATATTCTACTTCCTATAAGTGCCTGGCTATCAGTCACAAGCAAAAATTTATTACTAGAGATGCACAACATCCACATACTGTGCTCACCTCTCCACATTTTTAAGCTGTACATTGGGAACAGTGTTGAACTTGTGCTTTTTGAAATAAGCTTCCTAGAAAAATATGAAAAAGAGGAAGAACATCTTTAGAAATCACAATTCATCTCTGGCTACAATTAATCCAAGTTTCCCTCTGCCCATGGAGCACAGTAGGGAGAAAGCTGGGGCTTATACTTAAAAGCACACATGCTTAAAGGAACAAGGCTATAGGGAAAATACTCTTGCCACATTGGACAACAGCAGTCAAACTATTTGCTTTGTACATAGAGATGCCCACCTAACGATGCAGCTTCTGCACACTAATCATTGCACCCACCATTACTTAGGAAGTAAGCTACTACTGTTTTGATTATTAAACTTATTAGACTAGAGAAGCAAACCAAAAATTGGAAGTAGTAAACATATCAACCTCAGATGAGAAACAATAATAATAATAATAATGGGAGATACATTCGGACAGGTAAACTGGGCTAGAACCAAATGTAGAAAAAAAGAAGGTAGTTGTGTATTCTAGGCAGAAGGAAAAGTGCTGGAATCCTCTTTATTTAGAATTAGTTGCACTACGCACATGGAAATAACCATTCATGTTGAGGCCAACAATGCCAAAGTGGTACGAACGAGATACATCTGGGATGAGGCACTCACGGCCTTTTCGTTGCTCTGGCATTCGCATCCACATGTCCCAGTCCCAGAGCTGAGGGGAAAAGAACAAACCAGAATGCAATGTATGAAGCACTTACTCAATAGTAAGTTGTTTCAGTCCAGTTGCTAGGACTGCCAGCATGAAACTAACTCCCAGGCACATCCAGCCAACATTTAAAGTGATGGATGTATAGGAGAAAGTCACTCTACACTTTCCCCATCTCTGTTAGAACCATGATGCCAGAAGGGATAATATGGAAGTCACTGAATGGCACCAATGTTGATAGCCTGCTCCAACATTTGGCAAAGAAATATGAGAGACAAACTGACAGGATACTGACCTTCTCTGGTGTTGGCCATTTGGGTTCCAACTCATCTTTGTAGAGGGTCTTTCTCAGCACCCAACCTAAGCCTGGCATGGTCTCCACGCGATACAGGAGTGAAGGGTCCTCAGCTGTGTGCTCATAACCCTAATTTGTGCCAAAGAGAAGTATTTAAGAAATCTTCCTCAAAGGAAAACTTGTCATTAAGTCTGACATCCTAATTTTAAGTGGCAGAGAGGAAACCAATCTGCTGTGTACAGAATGAGAAGGGATGAGGGGAAAGAGAGAACTTGAGGTGAAGGCAAAGGTAACTCTGTCTCATGCACACCAACCTGGTCATTCCAAGCAGAGATGCAGTACAAGCTGTCATCTTCCTCCAGCAAATAGACAGACTGGCTTAGGAAGCTAAAAGGGGGAAACAAGAAATAAGCCACAAGGATCCTGTTCAAGCCAGCCTTCAACAAAATGACAAAAGTGGTTCATGATTAGTGCCTTGTTATGAAAAAGTAAAACACATGGAGCAAAGCCTAGTGTCCACATTGATCCTAAAGATAGCTAGGCACATGGTCAAGAGAACATTTTATATGGCTTGTGCAAATGCTCACTTGGGTTTACGTTTGAATAAATGCAGTTTCCCTTTCAGAAATTATTCATCCTTAGTTGACTGATTTGTTTGCTGTGCTTTAAAATTCCTTCTAACAGACTTGCCTAAGGGAACTCTTCATCACACAGTATATTCCTTCCAATAGTCTTAGCTTCTTATAGCCAACTGCAGCATGCTGTCCAGTTTGATTGAACTAATCAGTCAGTAAAACCTGGCTAAACATTCTTGTTGGTCAGGCAAAACAAAGCCAGCAAAGGTTGGGTTTAAAATATGGGCTCAGCCAATACCCGAAGAAGTCAATGGAGATATCCAGGTCTTCTTCCAATACAACAGCAAGTGTGGCATCCTACAAAAAGGTGAAGAAAAGGAGAAGAAAAGAGATCAGTGAAATTAAGGGGCTCTCAGGTTCAGAGGCAACTCTGGATATAGGCAACTTTAGGAAACAGACGAAATAGCTGTATTTCTGTTCCGGACTCTTACTGTCTTGAACATACATGGGAAATCCCCCCCCCCCCCCACACACACACTTCCCAGCATAATAATGCATTTCTTAACTGCATTTTAAAACAGACAGGACATCACTGCACGTGTTTCTTCCTAGTCCTGAACTACTATTCATCCCGGCTTCTAATATAAACAACCAGAATATTTCCTCTAGTTAAAATAGTCCCAAAGGGATTATATTAAAGACCAAAATCAAATCAAACTCAAGTTCTCAGAGTCTGAGGGAAAGCTGTACTGAGAATCGGGAATAAACAAGAGCAATGCATACCGGATGCAAGTTGAATGTTGCAGTCAAACTCGCCTTGTAGTGCTGTAAGAATGGAAAATGCCATCTATTATTTCTCATAACGATATCTCATTTCCACCATGTTGGTGAATAAGTGTTGCTACTGAACGGTTGGTTTATGTGCAAGTGTCTGTTTCCCACCTGTTTGGTTTGGCTCATGCAGAAGGGGCATAACAGCTAGACTTTGTGCCTCTTACATTTACAATGAATCAATGATTCTCCAGATATTGTTGGACTAGAAACCATATGAACCCAAGCAAGCACAACTAGTGGCAAGGGATTATGGGAAGTGAGCTATGGACCATAAGTTGTCCCCCTTTGAACTAAACCCACATTGGGTTAAAATAATAAAAACAAAAACTTTATGTTTGAGTTAGAGGTTGCACATAGTGGAGCTGCTTCACTGTTCCCAAACATGGTTATTTAAGGAAGTGGTTCCCAACCCATGGGCCGCGAGACCCAAAATAAGGTCTGTGGCCCCAAAGTTGTTAGCTCCCACAGCCACACATCAGCTGAAATTGGAAAGCAGCCCTTTGTAAGACCCTGTTTAGTCCCCCAAAGTTATTATTATTATTATTATTATTATTATTATTATTATTATTATTATTATTTATTAGCTCTCATTGCAAAACACAAGAGTTGTAATGGGAAAGCAGCCCTTTGTAAGACCCTGTCTAGTCCCCCAAAGTTGTTGTTGTTGTTGCTGCTGCTGCTGTTATTATTATTAACGGCTTTTATTATTATTAAAGCTGTTAGGGACAGTTTCTTGGGTCTTGCACTCTGCTTTTTGTATTTTTTTTTTCAACCTCAGCCCCCTCCCCTTCTTTTTTTTTTACACGAGCGTTAACAAAATCCACAGATAATAATGGCCCAACTGATTTTTTTCTCTTGGTGTCTTCATTTTTATGCCTGTTCCTGGGGTTATTTGGGGTGCTGTTTCAGAAAATCTCATGGGATAGACCACATCAGCTCTAGATTATTAAATATGGTTTAATATGGGCGAACAGATGGTGACTACTGGAGGGCATATGTTCTGTATCAGAAACTGGAGCTGATGTGGTTTATCCAATGCAATTTTCTGAAATTGCACCCCAAATAACCAAACCGAATCTAAAGTTGACCAAAAACCGATTTATAACCCTTTTGATATTAATGTTGGAGAGTAGTCCCTGTTCAAAGTGGTCCCTGGTCAAAAAAAGGTTGGGAACCACTGCTTTAAGGGAACTAACTGTCATTTTTAATGGGCTCATAGTTAAACAGTATACGGAACCTGGCACTGTGACCATTACAATATACTGACATAACGAGCTAGAAACTAAAAGTCTAAATTGATTATGTAGGGCTTGCAATACTGCTCTATAATAGAAGCTCTCATACCAATTATGTACCACTACAAATGGCCAAAAAAAGATACTTTAATTTGAATCTGGCATTCCTTTACTACATATTTGGTGTATGAGTAATCCCACTTCGGTCCTCATGAAACCTAAACAAAGTTCAGTTTTGTCATTTGAAGCTTGATGATATAGTAATGCTATAACTGGAATTACAATTTTCTCACTTACTGTAATAGCTTATTGTTTTTGTTCTTCTACCAATGGGATTCAATCACATTTTAAAAGAAAGATAATGACACATTTCCAGAAAAAGTCCTCTCACCTGTGAAACTCTGGCATTTTTAATGCTGATAGGAGTGTGCTGAATTCCCTTCAGGCCAAATAATTCAACCACATCCATTGGCTCCTGGAAACGACAGACAGTACTTAAGATCAATACATACATATTAGCTTGTCTTCAAAGAAGAGCATTAATAATGGACTTTAGATACATTAAAATAAATGCTATCACAATGAACCTGAGGATCACCTGCTCACTGCCACTGAGTAAAAGTTCAAGTGATGACTTAAAGTGAAAGACAATTTTCTGATATTTCACTTGACTGTACTTAAATGGAAGAGCAACAGAAGGGTTACACTTTTTGCCTTGTGACGAGAAACATTTCATCTATTGTTAGGAACTTGGGCAAGTAACTGTCAGGGTTAGTTTAAGGTAACTATGAATCTGTTGAAGGCTGTATGTCACTTGAATGTCTCACTGGATATCTGTTACGGAATCTACCAGAGAGACATTAAGAGACAGCTAGTATGACTAGGAAATAAATCATGGAGCTACAATGAAGGATGCCCATTTGGTTATCTGTCTTTCTTTGGAAGATTGGGGTCTATCTGAACTGTAGCTATCTAGTTACACAATGTGTACTTTCTACACATTTTGTAACGAGATCCATTTAAAATACTCCACAGTTCTTCAGAGACTAAGATGGCTGATTTTGCAGATCATGAAGTTTCTGCCTCTCTTGAGAATAAAGGAAATTTATGAAGCACAGAAAGGGTTATCCTCCATCCCTGTATCTTACCTCATAATATCCATCGATAAAGACAGTTATCATCTGAGGATTAACCCCTTGCGCCGAAAGAAGAGAGCGTAGCATTCTACAGGAGATGAAAGATCAACAGAATTACTCATCTAGCAACCATCTAGATTTATTAGTGTCACCATTACCAACATTCCTCTTTCCCCCCCTAAAGCAGTGGTTCTCAACCTGTGGGTCCCCATGTGTTTTTGCCTACAAATCCCAGAAATCCCAGCCAGTTTACCAGCTGTTAGGATTTCTGGGAGTCGAAGGCCAAAAACATCTGGGGACCCCAGGTTGAGAACCACTGCCCTAAAGGGTCATTTGTAGCAAATACTTTGGCCCTCTAGCCAAACTCTCACACACAGAGAGTCCCATGAGACTATGTGCTGTCAAACTATCAAAGGTTTGGAGGCTTTTCTTTATCAAAATCATGGGTTTTCCCAGAGGAATGGGGGTATTCTTTGTCCAAGAAAAGATTCTCCTTTCTGGTTGTTGTTGTTGTTGTTGTTGTTGTTGTTATTATTATTATTATTTGATGCAGGAAACATTTAACTTAGTCATGCCAATAAAGAAGATCCCATCCAAGCACTGACCTGTACAAGTAGTTCGGTCTGTTCCCCGCAATGACAGCAACAGGCACGTCAAAAACCTTGTTGTCTTTGAGCTAAAAGTGGAAGGAAGTTCATAAGCCATTACATTCAAACCAAATTTCTATCCTTTTTCCATGTACCTAAGGTATTACTAATTTCCCATACTTTGGAACATTCATAGGAAGAATAAAAGGAAAAACTATGACCAAACATCACTGGTACTTTCAAGCATTTTATTTATTCAGTTACACTTATATTCTCTTTTTTTCACCTACTCACCTATCTTCTACTTTATCTATCCTCCTTAACATCCCCAGGATGCAGAGGGAGGGGCAAATGGCCTAAAAATATTCATTTCATTTTTTAAATTACATGTCAATTTTTGTCTCTCATATTTGAGGTTCTTGTAAGTTAAGGATCGGGCTTTAGCACAGCACGTTAACTGCCAGCACATCATCCTGACAGTTTGAAGCCCAAGTCAGGATGAGCTCCTGGCCTTTAGCCCAGCTTCTGCCTACCTAGCAGTTTTGCAAACAGCAACGGGAGCAGATAGATAGGTACCGATTAAGCAGGGAGGTATTTAAGGCACCCATAAGGAAATGCCAGAAAAATGCCAATGATTCGATCAATGAGGAAGTTTGTGAACAAAGTTCTTCAGCAGGGAAAGTGGAGCGACAGCACTCCCCAGTGGCTGGAACCGAGCACAGCTTCCAATATGTTGATGATGGGAAAGCATATATATACCTCTATCTATGTACATCTGTCTGTCTTGTCAGTGTATAACAAACAAACAAAGAAAGGCTGTATATGATAGAGGTATGCTGAGAACTGCTAGGACAGTACCCAGATAAACATATTAGATGTTTCCTCTCAAAATACAGGGTACTAATGTCACATTTTGGCAGTGTTGAAAAGAGACATATGCTACTTGACACAGAACAGAGAACGTCCTTCTCATCACATATTCTGGGCATAACAACAACAACTTTATTTGTACCTCCCAAAAGGACACGTGGCGGCTTACAGAAGCACATCATAGTGCCATAAAACACATAATAGTACAGGTAAAATTACATCAGAAGATTAACAATAACAATATCAATTAATATAAAGTAGCACATTACAAAAAAAGAAAAGACCAATTCCAATTTAAAAATAATCAATAAAATACAGGAATAACTACAATGAAAATGAACAGTGATGACATATGTGTTTCACATTATAATTTGCTGCCCTTACTTGACCCCCACAAACCCAATGACTAAGATGGCAGCTGTCTAACTGTAGAGCTGGCTCTATGTTTTGATAAACTGCCAAGAAAGGCTGAGATAATTCATAGCACAACCAAGGCTCATCATACATTGTCCAACTGATTGAGAAATTGATAAAAGTCTTTGGACATTCTCATCAATGCTCAACCCAGGAAGGGGGTCAAATTTACTCACTGGCTCAGGGTTGAACTCTATAGGTGTGGGGTCCTTACAGCTGCAGACACTGCCATAGCCTTCCACCTTGCTACAGAACTGTTTCCGTCGTCGATTCAATTCTGTATCTGGCCAGTGGCATTCTGCATCTGTGAGTACAATTGAGAGTGAGTCAGCTTGAGATATGAATGAACTCTGAAATGGATACCTCTCTACCATCCACATTCATGCCACTGACAGGTTGTAGTGAGAAACAGACTACCTTTGTTGAACAAAGTGCCAAAGAATGGGACAGCAGTGAATTTACCTGTTTCTTTTTGCAAAACTTCCCTCAAGATGAGAGGGAAACAGCAAACCAGGACATTGCTATGAGGAATTGGGAAGGCCGAATAAAGAAAGCTACAGTCATAAAGGCTCTATTGAATGTGCCCCTATTCTAGACCCAACCATTTTAGCAAGTCCATATCTGACAACAAAATGATCTCAATTTTGTCCATTGGCCCCCATTACAAATGAAGACTTCCTGTTCTTCCTACCCCAAGCATATGATCACAGAATTGGAAGAGACCACAAGGGCCATCCAGTCTAACCCCATTCTGCCACACAGGAACACACAATCAAAGCATCCCCGGACAGATAGCCATTCAGTCTTTGCTTAAAAACCTCCAGAGCAGGAGACTCCACTGGACTCCAAGGCAGAATATTCCACTGCCAAACAGTTGTTACTGTCAGGAAGTTATTCCTAATGTTTTGGTGGAATCTCTTTTCCTGCAATTTGAATCTATTGCTCTGTGTCTTTGTCTTTGGAGCAACAGAAAACAAACTAGCCCCTTCCTCAATGTGACATCCTTTTAGGTTCCCCAAACTCTGATACAATTGGACTCTCCCTAGAAGCCAAGATGACTAAACCAGATGACTTGGTTTAAGTTACTTTGATCACATCATGAAAAGACATAATGCATTAGAAAAGATAATAATGTTTGGGAAGGTAGAAGGAAAAGAGGAAAAGCACATTCCAGATGGATAGGTTCAGTCAACCTGCACAAGGCTGTTGATTACAGACTTGGAGATCATGGAGTCAACTTAAATCAAAGTTGACTTGTCAACAGTTCCAAGATGTCAAGATCTCCTGGGAAGAACCAGATATACCATACCTTCTACTGAGGTTAACTGGACTTCAGTTTTCAACAACACTGGCTCTCCCCATGAGGAAAGCATTGGGGACTTGGCATGTTTTTCACCAAATACTTCACCTGCAAGAGAAGATACTGCAATCAAAGCCAGGAGACAGCTGATTACCACTCAGTATTTGTTATTATCGTGCGCATCTACCATCAGGTAAAGTGTTGCTACATGAATCCTGCTGGAGCAATCACAATCAACAATGAAGTTGAGCCCACTTTAGTTTTTTCCCTCCTGGGCACTATGCATGTCAACTTCGTGAGGCCCTACTAGTATCAACAATACACCTCAGTAACCAAATGCCACAGAATATGAGGAACATCTGCTTTGAAAAGGGATGTATAGTAGAAGGGAAATGTTTGTAGGCAGAACTTCTCTCTTTCCTGTTTTTCCCCCTATTATTAACAATAATAGAGCCCTATCTTCTGTACCCTATGCTATGCTTAGGCATGCTAAAAAGATCTGGATACTATACTATATGGAAGTGAAGACAGAGAACCCAATGCAGAAAGTATGCCTTATCATCGTGTGTTTCCCATTTAAAAAGGCACCCTTCCCTGTATCTCCCCTGGAGACTTATGCCAAGATTACATTCTGACCTCCTTTCTTCCCCACAAACGTCCACATGTCCCTCCAGCTGAGGGAAGCAGCATCCTGGCTCCCTAGGCTCTTCAGAAGACTCTTTGCTGTGTCTTTAAGGTGGAAGGAGCCCTCATCCTGGAAAAGGAAGAAAAACAATTGCTACTATATATGCAGGATCACCCTTCTAGTTTTTGCAAGGATCTTTTGTTACTTTGAGGAGCAGAAACAGTCTAAGAGAATCTTTTATTTTTGAACTGGTGACAAAGATAACAATTACACAGCATGTCCTGTTTCATTTATAAGTTCAAACAATTGTATTGAATAAGATTCCAGAATTTTACAGCCTAAAACAGTGGTTCCTGACCTTTTTTTGACCAGGGACCACTTGACCAGGGATGACTCTCCAACATTAGTACCAAAAGGGTTATGAATCAGTTTTTGGACAACTTTAGATTTGGTTTGGTTATTTGGGGTGTTGATTCAGAAAACTGCATTGGATAGATCAAACCAGGTCTAGTTCCTGATACAGAACATATGCCATCCAGTAGTCGCCAACTGCTCATCCACAGAAAACCATATTTAATAAGAGGGTTTCGCAAGACCAGTCATTCTCGTTGTAACAGTGTAGTAATGGTGTGGCCGCAGACCATATTTTAGTTCTTGTGGACTAGTTCCACCGACCACAGGTTGAGAACCACTGGCCTAAAAAGCACATTACAGTTGCACATCATCCCCTCCAGAGTGCTTAATACAGTCGGACATTCAGTCAGTCACTTACTTTACTTGACTAAAGACCATTACAAATCCTATACTATCTTATAATATGTAATACACTTGGACAGAAATGAGCAACTTCTGGACCAAACAATATATGTGTGCCTGGCCTAATTTTATACAAGTGAAGAGGGAAAAACACATAGACAAAAGGAGCATTGGGGGAAGAAAGAAAGGAGTCAAGGAGAGACAAAGTAATGGAAGGAGAATGGTAAAAGCTCTTTCTAAATGCTTTGTTCAGCTTCCTAGCAAGAGTCATCTGTTTTTCTGCCAGCAGCTTATATGAAAAAGAGCAAGAGAGAAGAAAAAGGAATAAAATGCACAAAGGGGGTTTGGGGGAAAAAGAGAAAAAGAATTCTCCTTGTATGCTTTTGCTCCTATTCAATAAAGGCACACTGTTCCTAGCAGTCTGTGCTTAAAGTCTTTGTCACTGGAAAAAAGTTTCCCCACCTTTACATCAGAAAGTTAGTAAGGATGATTTTGCAATTAGAATCAGTTGAACTTGTTTCTATTGTAATTCCGATTGGCCTTATTCCAGCAGATCCACTGCTGAGAAATTATTCATTAATTATTATAATCCAATCTATACCAAAGATGTTTGTGTAAGAATATAGATAAAACCAATATGACCAGATTAAAACAATTCAAAACAATAAAATATTAACAGATGAATAGATCAACAAATTAAAACAGATTTAAGAGGTTTTGAAAACCCTGGCCATTTCAACTGAAGTAAATACAGTGTCATGACTTTACTTAGCATCTAAATGAAACCAGTGTTGGCGCCAAGAAGGTCTCCAAGGATAGCGCTTTCCACAATGAGGATCACATGGCTGAGGAGACCCTCGCCCACATATTCACATAGCACATCTACCTCACAGGTGAGATACAGAGGAGCCTCCTTTCTCACCCAAAAGGCCTCAATCCTGAATATGTCCACACATATGTTACTTGCTCTGGTTAAATGAGTCTACTTTTGTTAAGACAAGCAATTGGATTCAGGCCTATTTTTTCCTGCTTAAGAACTTCATGAAGGGGCTTGGCATTATGATCTGAAGGTTTTATATGCATAGGAAATTTGTGTCCCTAATATAAAATGGCAAAATCAAGGCTATACTTTGAAAGTATGCAAAAAATATTTATTTTCAAGCCATGGATGACTGAATTCATGGATATGGAGAACCAACTGTATATTGCACATGTCTTAACGAGAAAAGATGGAAGAATTAGGATTCCCAACTTCCACCTACCTTAATTGTGAAAATAAGTATTCGGCCTCTGGCTATCATGTTGAGGAAAAGGACCATGGCTTCATCCTCATGCGGTGAGTAGGTGTCAAAAACCCGCTTTGCCATCACATGGCCCTATTGAGTATACATTCAAAGAGAGTAAACTGCATTAGCTGTGAGTGAGCCCTGCTCAGATTCTAGGATATGTCACAAGCAATGCAGGCAGAGTATTAAAATAACCCCAACCTAACATAATAAAAATAGACACAGAAATTAGTAGAGCTTGTATGTACATAGCTTATGTGTGAAAGAAATTCTATGTATTTTTGTGTCATTTACTTTGTTATCTGCTTGGGTAGTTGGTATCAATACTGTTTAAAACTTGCTATTCTGTTTCAATCATTTGTTTAGATAAGATTTGTTTAGATATTTATTGTTTGAAATGCGTGCAGTAGATTATCATAACCTGGAAGCTCACAGCTAACTCTAGATATATTAGTTCATTCCCGGCTTCTGGAGATGGAGAAGCAGAATGACTTCTTTTGGCACATAAATATTGAGACTGCTTTCCAGTTCCAATCACTTACTGTAGCCTGATTCAACACAATCACGTGGATGCCTCTGCCTTGCTCTCGTGCTTCATCTTCTAAAACCTGTAAAATGACAAAAGGGACTGCAATATTACTCAATCTCTTTAGCAATCACTATCCCTTCTAGGAATTTCTCTCCTTAGGTAACAAAGTTCTATAACCCCAAGTACATCTAACACCACACTTTCAACAATATGGTACCACTCTAAACTGCTATGGTTCCATCCTCCTGTATCCTGGGTTTTTAAGATTGGAGAGATACTGAGAATGTTATCCTAGACAGCTCTAGCTATACCTTTAAACTACAGAGCTACCAAACTACACATTTCAGGATTCTGGAGGATGCTGTCATAACAGTTAAAGTACCAACACACTGCTATATGTGCAGAGTAGATATACTCCATCCAATGGAAACAGTACTGACTTTTTACCACTATTTACAAGCGTTATCCAGAAAGTAAGATTACAAGCTCCAGCAAAGGATCACCGCCTTGTCGGGGCGCTGGAGCTTGAGCACCTCAATGATGTCATGAGCGAAACCGTGAAGGGACACCCAAGACGGGACGGTTGTGGCAGAGAGGTCAGACCAAGCGTGATCCCTGGGGAAGGCAATGGCAAACCACTCCAGTATCCTTGCCAAGAAAACTAAATGGACCAGTACAACCAGAGATATGTCGGTATGCCATTGGAAGATGGGACTCCCAGGTCAGAAGATGGCCAAAATGCTACTGGGAGGAGCAGAGGATAAGTTCAACTAGCCCCAGATGTGATGACGCAGCTAGCTCAAAGCCGAAAGGAAGGCTAGCGGCCGACGGTACTGGAGGTGAACGACGAATCCGATGCTCTAAAGATCAACACACCATAGGAACCTGGAATGTAAGATCTATGAGCCAGCAAATGTTGAAGTACTTTGGCCACATCATGAGGAGACAGGAAAGCCTAGAGAAGACAATTATGCTGGGGAAAGTGGAAGGTAAAAGGAAGAGGGGCCGACCAAGGGCAAGATGGATGGATGGCATCCTTGAAGTGACTGGACTGACCTTGAGGGAGCTGGGGGTGGTAACGGCCGACAGGGAGCTCTGGCGTGGGCTGGTCCATGAGGTCACGAAGAGTCGGAGACGACTGAACGAATGAACAACAACAAAGATTACAAGATATGTAGCTCTCACGGGGAATTTCCGCAGAAGTTGTTATCACTGCAGTGTAGCGGGAAGCTGGCGGAAGCGAACGAGCAGTGCCAGTTAGTAGCTCATCGACTGGCATGAAGGTTTGAGATGAGCGTCCTCATTCTGTTTCCCTCATGTCTGTTTCCTTCATGACAATGCACGCCCGCACACTGCTCATGCAACAAAAGAGGTGTTGACTTCATTTGGTTGGGATGTTTTAAGCCACCTCTCTCACAGCCCTGATCTTGCACCCAGTGACTATCATCTGTTCACTAAATTGAAGGAACGCTGGGGTGGAAAACATTTTCTGACGATAACAAGATGAAAAGTGAAGTGATGAACTGGCTGAAAAAGGCGGTGGGTGACTTCTGTGCGACCTCGTTGCACAGATGACGAAATGTATTGAACTGAATAGCAATCATGTGGACAAACAATGTAATACCTATGCTATAATCCATGTAAGTTTTATTAACATTTATTCATTCTTTGTATTTAAAAAAAATCTTGTAACCTTACTTTCCGGATATCCCTCGTACTTTGCTTATGGCAATAATTCAGCATGTAGTTGATACCTGCAGTTTACTTCTACTTCTCCCTCAAACACATTAGAAGCAGAGATGCAGGAACACCAAGTTAATTGAGAAACAGTTAAGTGCAACTATACAACAAAACATTTTAAGTGGCGCGGACCACACTGAACATAGATGGATTAGCATCGAAGTATACACCCAGATTTGCAGAGCAGAAAGAGTGTTTTGCTGTAGCAAAATGTGAGAATTTACTGTTGCCCTGATTCTTCTATCTTTCCTTTTAGCTGTAGCATATGTACTCACCGTTGTGCCATCCACTGCCACATAGACTTTGGAGCGGCTTGAGTACACCTCTATATCCAGAACTTTCCTGTTATTAATAGGTCGGCGTGGGATCTCTGGGTTCTGCAGGCCTTCATCTGGGGCGAGAGAGACAATATAATGCACTTTGAATTCTCCCACATGAGCCTGTCTGCAGAAATTAATTTTCTTTGTGTCTCACTACTAAGAATGGTGGGATTACAAGGCCTTCTCTATGCCCAAATCTTGACTATGAAATTACCTTCAGAGAGATATTAGACTGCTCTATAACTGATGATTATTAGATGGACAGGAAAAATCTATTTGGTTTCTATAACATAAAACTAACATGCTTTTCACAACCTCTGAGGATGCCTGTTATAGATGTGGGTGAAACGTCAGAAGAGAATGCTTCTGGAACGTGGCTATACAGCCCAGAAAACTCACAGCAAACCACTGCTTTTAGTTACATTGTTTTTAGTTTTACACCTCCAATTTTAATTTGGTTTAGTGTTTAAACTTTATTATGATGTCTACCTCATTGGAAGACCTTGGTGCCCTCTAAAAGTGGGATTATGTGAGCTTTAGCCCAGTGCACAGTTAGGATAACAAATTTGGTCTTAATGTATGCTGCTTAATATAGGCGAGACAGTGGCTGGACATTACACCACCATAATCATTAGCAAAATCAGCATTATAAACATAATTGTAGCAGTATGCAAACATGTGGGACCCTTTCACTCCAACAATAGAAGAATAATTTCATTTTAAGTGCCACGATTCCATCCTATGGACTCCTGGTTTGCAGAAAAGGGAGGAGAATTTAGATTTCTCTCTTGTATATTAACCAAATTACAAATGTCAGAATTCTATAGGATGCAGCCTGGGCAGTTAAAGTGGAGTCACAGAGCTATAATTATGAAATATCCGCAGTCACAGTTCTTCACATCCTCACCATAATCCTGAGCAGACTCCTCCTCTTCATTAGCTGCTCTTCTAGTGTCCAAGATCAGCTTTATGTTTACTATGACGGTCACCAGTAAAAAGACCACAGCTCCCATCTGTAAGGGAAATATTTTCACACTATTAAATGAAAACAATGCCTTGTTTATCCCATACTCCAAGTTCTGATGTTTTGGAAAGGTGCGGAATTACATTACCAGGCAAAGAAGTAGCACTGACTAAGCACCAGAACAAAACATTTCTACTATATCTGCCACTCAGCTCCTCACAGGCAAAATGTGATGTCCATTAACTCTGTTCACACCACAAGGCCTATCCTGGGGTGAACAATACGCAACCCTCTAGCTTAGTGGTGTCCAACCTTTGGTACTTCAGGTGTTTTGGACTTCAGCTCCCAGAATTCCTCACCATTGCATAAGCTGGCCATGGCTCCTGGGAGTTGGAGTCCCAAATGTCTGGAGGTCCAAAAGTTGGATGCCACTGCTCTAGATGTCACTGGACTATCACTCCCTCCAATATTATCAGAGCCTGGCATTAAGGAAAATGGGAGTAGGGCTCCAACAACATCTACTGGGCTACATGCTCCTTGCCCCTGTCACAAATACTGGTGGGAAAGGATATCCCAATACATTTTGATGCCTGAAGTAAAGGACAAAATAGGACTGCTACCATTCCATGTAAGTTGATTGGGCTGAGAGCTAAATTCTGACCTCAACAATAGCAAGGAGAAAACAGTAGCAGGAAAACATATTTGGATATGTCATAGCTGACATATCCAATTTTCTATCACAAGTAACCAATGCTTTTTTATATTCCTTAGAAATTAGGTGCTGGGGTTTAGAGATGGTTATCAGATCAAAGTCAAGTGAAAAAAGGCATGGCATTCCTTCCACAATTTCATTATGTTACTATTATCAAGCAGGCATGCAATTCCAGGGTTTAGAAATATTCATTTCTTCGGCTCTACCTATAGCCCCCACACATAAATCCTTCAGTTAACTTGGCTGTAGCCTTAAATAATAGTTTTTTTCAAGACTGCATAAAAATGAACCAAATTTAGGATAACAGAAGCCTATCACAAAGAGGCCACAAAATGCAAACTTTAAAAAGTCAGGACACAAAACCTGCTTATGACATTCAATGGCCTGCTTTTCCAGGTGGGAGTTTCTTCAATGAATTCCAAACTGCTATACTCCAGTTTTTAAAAAAGGATATATAGAAGACAAGGCAAAGTGCCTTGGGTACCAATGCTGAATACAAATCTGTCTGATAAACACATGGGGAATTTAAAAAAACCACAACAGCACATCTTTGACACCACTATTCACATGACTGCTGCCAAAGTAGGCAGCTTAAAATACAGTGTTCTGGGAAAAGATGTAGCAACATTGTACTATAGAGATCTGTGTATAGTATCAGTTGTCATTTTATAATACGACATCAGTCTGCGGCTGACATGACTTTCGGCTGGCATAAACTACAAGCTGATTTCAGGTCAGTGAAAACCAGCTGCTTGATAAAAATCTTCAGTCTCTTGTGTCTGCACAGATTGCAGTTAAATTACTTCAGGTGAAATGAGACGGTACGTTTTATTACCTATGGAACAATTGTTTATATAACTTGGAGAGCAGTTTTATGCACGCTAAGAAACTGCTAATATTTATAGCATTTTTCTCTTCGGAAATAAAACCATGTAAGAAGCCTCTTGAGGGCTGGCATAGTGGCTTGAGTCCTGGACTAAGACTCTTGAGACTAGGATCTGAATCTCTACTTGTCCATGGAAACCCACTAGGTGACCCTGGACCAGCCACATTTCTCTCAGCCTCAGGGAAAGACAAACCCCTTCTCAACAAACCTTGCAAAGGAAACTCCGTGGTATAAAGGTAAAGGTTTCCCCTTGACATGAAGTTGAGTCGAGTTCGACTCTGGGGGTGGTGCTCATCTCGATTTCTAAGCCAAAGAGCGGGCGTTGTCCATAGACGCCTCCAAGGTCATGTGGCTGTCATGACTGCATGGTGCGCTGTTACCTCCAGCCAAAGCAGTACCTATTGATCTATTCACATTTGAATGTTTTCAAACTGCTAGGTTGGCAGAAGCTGGAGCTAACAATAGGAGCTCATTCCATCCTGTAGATTCAAACTGCCAACCTTCCAGTCAGCAAGTTCTGCAGCTTAGCGGTTTAACCTGCTGCGCTACCACAACTCTTAACTCCATGGTAGGTTTGTCTTAATGCCACAACATACTGAAGACAACATGAAGTTGCACAGTAAGAATAAGTCTCTTGCTTTTATGCTAACTGACTTCTTGTGGTTGTGCTAGGATTTGACCAGGGATTGTGGACTTGCATTATTCCAGATGCTGCTGGGTTTCATTGCCCATCAGTGCAAAACAGGATAGCCAAGAGTGAGAAATCTATCATGGGAAATGAAGGCAATAAGAGCTGGAAGGTCATATATTCACCGGTTTTCAACCAATGGTTCAGGATCCAGCACTGACCCAATTAAAAATGCACATATCTTGAAATAAAGCTTGGTACTCTGTATGAAAAGAAAAAAGAGCACTCCATCCAGACCACATATGGGCAATAGTGGGGTGTACAATGTTCTCTCCTCTATAGCCCCCCCCCCCAAAAAAAAAACTCTCTAGGAAGAGGAGCAGTGTTTTGCTATATTTCTGAACCACCACACTGAGCAGTGGTAGGCTCAGGAGGAGTTTCAAGAAAATTAGAAAATTATCAGAATGTATTTCCTGTTCTGAAAATGCCATCTATAACCTTAAAATGATAAGGAGATGTGGTCAAAATATTTTCAACACCCCAACTCCATAGCTCCGCTCACTCCTGATCTAGAGCACTGTTTCTCAAACTGTGGGTTCCTTCCATCCCCAAATGGGGTTCCCTTAGCTCAATGTTGAAGTCCTGAAATATTTGGCAACAGTAAAAGTTTTCTGAATGTCACCTAGTGACTATATAGACATTTATATAAATGTATTCTGCAGTGTTTACAGTGGATTCTGAAGAAGATGCTTCAACTGTACTTCATAAAATCAGCCTGTTTAGGGAGCCTTGCAAATGCTGGTTTCCTATCTTTTACACACACTTCATATACCTGTATACCTGGGGTTGGGCCCCCTGTTTTTTTTGTTTTGGTTGCTTCTGGTGTGAGAGAATTGGCCATCTGCAAAGATACTGCCCAGGGGACGCCCGGATGTTGTGATGTGTTATCATCTTTCTGGGAGGCTGCTCTCATGTCCCCACAATGGGGAGCTGGAACTGATAGAGGGAGCTCATCCGCACACTACCCGGATTCGAACCTGCAACCTGTCAGTCTTCAGTCTTGCCAGCACAGGGGTTTAACCCACTGCACCACCGGGGGCTCCTTGGGCCCCCGGTGGCATAGCGGGTTAAACCACTGAGCTGCTGAACTTGCTGACTGAAAGACTGGAGGTTTGAATCTGAGGAGCGGAGTGAGCTCCCGCTGTTAGGCCCAGCTTCTGCCAACATAGAAATTTGAAAACATGCAAATGTGTGTAGATCAATAGGTGCTGCTTCTGCAGGAAGCTAACGGCACTCCGTGCAGTCATGCCGGCCACATGGCCTTGGAGGTGTCTACGTACAATGCTGGCTCTTCAGCTTAGAAATTGAGATGAGCACCACCCCCCAGAGTCAGAAACGACTGTCATGGGAAACCTTTACCTATACCTGGGATTGCTAAAAAAATTATCAGGCAGAAAGGGGTAACAAGTGGAAAAAGTTTAAGAAGCCCTGATCTAGAATATGAGAAAATAGCTCTTCCTTTCTGAAAAAACAAATCTTGAGGCCATTTTAACTAAAAGAAAAAGAAGAAAAAGAAGGACATTTGGAGCCTATACTATTTACCTGTAACCATATCTAGAAGGATGGAATTTTTCCAGGTTTATGGGAGAAAGAGACAGATTACTAAGGTCTTATCTCTCTATGTCTCCCAGGCTGTTTTATCTTTTACAATGATATCAAAGCAAACAATAAACTATTACAGGTAATAAAACTAGCAGCCACTGATAGCCTTTCCCCCTCATGGGTTATCTAATACATTAATTACCTGCAAAGGATATGGTATAATGAAAATACCTGAGGGAATACAGAAAAGGGGGGGAATGTTGCTATTAGTAATAGTATCACATAACTTCAGTAGCGAGTTTAAAACCCTAGCTGTTTTCTGAGCAGCAGAACAGAATTTGAAAGTGTTGAGTAACAGCTTGGGCTAAAAAAGGTTTCAGAGCGATGCAGTATTTGTTAAACACCATTAAGTTTAAGTGGAATCTCTTTGTAAAATGAATGTGCCTCAATTACGTACCACACCAGGCTGCTCCCCCATAGTAACTCAGTTCCTTGCAAATATCTAAATGCAACTGCTTTCAACAAAACATCAGGCCTTAGATTTCAAGAGGTAACAAAGCAAAGGCAACAATAGAACTCTAAACAAACCAAGAAGACCTGAAAAAGATGAGATGCATTATTACATGCCTTCAAGTTTCCTGACTTGTAGCAACCCTATCCTAAGTTTTTCTTGGCATTGCCATTGCTGTCCACTGAGGATGAGAGTCCGAGACTTGCCCAGCATAACCAAATGGGTTTCCATGGCAGAGCAGGACTCGAACTCTAGACTCTTGGAGTTCTAGTCTAACACCCAAGTCACTGAATCACACTGCCTCTTACATTAAAGCAGTGTTTTCCAACCTCTTTTTTTTTTTTTTTGGACCACTTTGACCAGGGACCAGTCTCCAACATTAGTACCAAAAGGGTCACAAATCAGTTTTAGATTCGGTTTGTTTATTTGGGTTACTGATTCAGAAAGTGGCATTGGATAGACCACATCAGCTCTAGTTTCTGATACAGAACATATGCCATCCAATAGTCAACATCTGCTCGCCAACAGGAAACCATATTTAATAATCTAGAGCTGATGTGGCAGTAGTAATCTTTTGTGGGTAGTCAGCCTCTCCCATCCCGACATCCCAGTTGCCTCGGCACTGTAAGAAGGTTTCGTGAGACCAGTCACTCTTGTTGCCACATGGTATCGAGGAAATGGTGTAGGAATGCTGAGGCTGCGGACCCTAT